GTGTTACTGTGTTTGTTGTTTTCGTGTACAATGTAATAAATGGTACATTCACAAGTTATGCAGAATGGTAGTGAGTTACAAAGTCACATCGGCAGCCATATCGTGAAAGTCGTAAATCTAAATTTGTAAATGTGTACATGAAATAAAAACAAACTCATATACCTACCTGTCTTCTAAGGACAGTAAAATAACTAGTCTATCACAAATGTACACTAAAAACTGGCATGTAACCATAAACACTTTAACGGTACAGTATAAAAATGGGCTATAGATTGCCAACACCTGAAGGTTGATCAACATACTAGGGACTACGGGAACGTACAGTACTTTTGCTTCCTGCATGGCCCTTAGCTGGATTCTGTATATAGAAATTATCTTGCAAATGTAACAGTAAGTAAATATTGTCCCCCAATGGAACAGCACAAAGTTAAGTTTGCCATTTCATCTAAGCTGAAACCAACAGAAACCTAGCGGAAACCTACATTACCCAGTATGCAATAGGTTTCCGCAATAGCGGAAACTAAGTCATTTTGCTATGAATGTTTCAGCGAACTGAAACTAAATGGAAACGCATAATGATAGTTTCAGATGTAGAAACTTGACGGAAACCTAGATTTGTTAGTTTCAGTTTTGTAAACTATGCGGAAACTCGCATTGTCTGTTTCCGGATACTGAAACCTAGCGGAAACCTACATTACCCAGTATTAATTAGGTTTCCGCAAGAACGGAAACTAAGTTATTTTTGCTGTGCAATGTTTGTGAAATATCTACATTAATAAGCGCAAATCGGAGACAGATATAATTAAAATATGACAAGTCATAGCGACATGGACTTCTGATAGAGATTCATACACTCTTCAAAAAAAAAAACATAAGCCATTTTAGAAGAATTTATTGCGTTACTTTAAGAGCAATTATTTCATGTAATTTCAATGGTAAAAATATGAAAATTCACATCTCTTGAGACAAAGAATTCGCCAACATAACAGTAGCCTTTATTGTTCCTGTCCACAAGATGGCGTCAACGTCAGTACTTTGTATGGCCACCATAGGCAGCAATTACTGGTCGGCACCGTCCTGGCACAGACTGGATAAGTCGACAAAGTCGCTCTTGCGGAATTCTTCCCCACTCTTCCTGCAATAAGATGGCCAGTTGTTGAAGTGTCTGATGCGTGTTTTGACGTTGACGTACACGTCGGACGAGTTCATTCCATAGGTGTTCTATCCGGTTTAGATCTGGTGATCGGGAAGGCCACGGCAAGACATTGACTTTAGAATTGGCAAGGTAGCGGACCGTGACGCGTAATGTATGTGACGTATCGTTTTTCATGCTGGAACAACTCCCTCTATCACTCCATGATCGGAAGCATGCGATGTGCAAATCTCTCAACAGGGGCGACAACTGGCCTTCTTGGTCAAATCCACACGTGCCTTTTGCTTTGCATGTTTTCTTGGTGACGCGTTTGGCGGATATTTCTTCAAGCGCTTCTAAAACAAGGGGGAAAGTTAAACTTGACGCGTTTTGGCGCTGAAGCTGTTTTACAGTCACACAAAAGATGACGTTTTGGAAAGAAATAGTATATTTGTATTATTTCTTGCCGCAGCTACATGAGTCATTCTCAAAATCACCTATGCGTTTCTTTATTTCTGAAGAGTGTATATATTTCCACGAAACACTTGTGGAGTATTAGAACATCAGTGAAAATATTCATATTTTATTATAATACAAACTAATATTTCAGTGTCATCCAGGATGCAAAATGTCAAGGATCCTTTACGGATATCAGAGGATTGCTGTCTGCTCAGTATGAGTGCAATAGAAGCTTCATGATTGTAAGCAAGTTGCCAAGTCTTTACTAAGTGAGATTGTTAGTGTGTATATGTTAAGATACATTGAGGCAGCTTCAAATGTACACTTCATGTATATGGGCCCATGACCTTTCATACAATAAACATTTGAATTTGAATTTAAAATCTGTTTAATAAATACCACAGCAAGTATGTTATGCCTGCACTAGTAGACATCATTTCATCATATGCATAAAATGTTGTAGGGTTTTGACATATTTGTATTTGCATATTCATACAGAAGTTGTGTTCTCCAATGCTGAAGATTCCCTCTTGATGTGGCTTCTCTCATACATACATACATACATACATACATACATACATACATACATACATACATACATACATACATACATACATACATACATACATACATACATACATACATACATACATACATACATACATACATACATACATACATACATACATACATACATACATACATACATACATTATTGGGTTCTCTTGAAATGTGAGCTATTCAAAATAATGAAACAGATGAATCATATCAGTGACTGTGTTACTGTGTTTGTTGTTTTTCGTGTACAATGTAATAAATGGTACATTCACAAGTTATGCAGAATGGTAGTGAGTTACAAAGTCACATCGGCAGCCATATCGTGAAAGTCGTAAATCTAAATTTGTAAATGTGTACATGAAATAAAAACAAACTCATATACCTACCTGTCTTCTAAGGACAGTAAAATAACTAGTCTATCACAAATGTACACTAAAAACTGGCATGTAACCATAAACACTTTAACGGTACAGTATAAAAATGGGCTATAGATTGCCAACACCTGAAGGTTGATCAACATACTAGGGACTACGGGAACGTACAGTACTTTTGCTTCCTGCATGACCCTTAGCTGGATTCTGTATATAGAAATTATCTTGCAAATGTAACAGTAAGTAAATATTGTCCCCCAATGGAACAGCACAAAGTTAAGTTTGCCATTTCATCTAAGCTGAAACCAACAGAAACCTAGCGGAAACCTACATTACCCAGTATTCAATAGGTTTCCGCAATAGCGGAAACTAAGTCATTTTGCTATGAATGTTTCAGCGAACTGAAACTAAATGGAAACGCATAATGATAGTTTCAGATGTAGAAACTTGACGGAAACCTAGATTTGTTAGTTTCAGTTTTGTAAACTATGCGGAAACTCGCATTGTCTGTTTCCGGATACTGAAACCTAGCGGAAACCTACATTACCCAGTATTAATTAGGTTTCCGCAAGAACGGAAACTAAGTTATTTTTGCTGTGCAATGTTTGTGAAATATCTACATTAATAAGCGCAAATCGGAGACAGATATAATTAAAATATGACAAGTCATAGCGACATGGACTTCTGATAGAGATTCATACACTCTTCAAAAAAAAAGAAACATAAGCCATTTTAGAAGAATTTATTGCGTTACTTTAAGAGCAATTATTTCATGTAATTTCAATGGTAAAAATATGAAAATTCACATCTCTTGAGACAAAGAATTCGCCAACATAACAGTAGCCTTTATTGTTCCTGTCCACAAGATGGCGTCAACGTCAGTACTTTGTATGGCCACCATAGGCAGCAATTACTGGTCGGCACCGTCCTGGCACAGACTGGATAAGTCGACAAAGTCGCTCTTGCGGAATTCTTCCCCACTCTTCCTGCAATAAGATGGCCAGTTGTTGAAGTGTCTGATGCGTGTTTTGACGTTGACGTACACGTCGGACGAGTTCATTCCATAGGTGTTCTATCCGGTTTAGATCTGGTGATCGGGAAGGCCACGGCAAGACATTGACTTTAGAATTGGCAAGGTAGCGGACCGTGACGCGTAATGTATGTGACGTATCGTTTTTCATGCTGGAACAACTCCCTCTATCACTCCATGATCGGAAGCATGCGATGTGCAAATCTCTCAACAGGGGCGACAACTGGCCTTCTTGGTCAAATCCACACTTGCACGTGCCTTTTGCTTTGCATGTTTTCTTGGTGACGCGTTTGGCGGATATTTCTTCAAGCGCTTCTAAAACAAGGGGGAAAGTTAAACTTGACGCGTTTTGGCGCTGAAGCTGTTTTACAGTCACACAAAAGATGACGTTTTGGAAAGAAATAGTATATTTGTATTATTTCTTGCCGCAGCTACATGAGTCATTCTCAAAATCACCTATGCGTTTCTTTATTTCTGAAGAGTGTATATATTTCCACGAAACACTTGTGGAGTATTAGAACATCAGTGAAAATATTCATATTTTATTATAATACAAACTAATATTTCAGTGTCATCCAGGATGCAAAATGTCAAGGATCCTTTACGGATTACGGAGTGGTGGCAAGCCTCGTCTCTCTTGAAGTGGTAGGTAAAGGGCGACACGTTGGTGACGCCAACCTTCTGTAGACATGATACCCAAGGAGATCCCATGTCAAATAGATGACGCATTCATGGTTATGTTATGTTACCCTGTGTCTATTTTTCACATTAACAAAACATTAAGCTATGACACAGAATTAAAACGACTAACTATAAATAAATGTCCATCCATACCCACACTCATTTCTATTTCCCTTTGTGGCGTCGAGATAGTTACCATATTTCAAATATATTTCTAAATTATAGAAATTATACTGGGTTTAAAGTTCGTTTCTTGAGCTTGCATCGTTAAAGAATGTTACAATTCTGACGTTAACTGTTGTTTTTTAGTGAACGGGTTCTTGGTACGTACAACAACATCACTGATGTAATACAATATCATTTCTTTACAAAATCGTTAATCGTGATGAATTGTGTAACATATGTTAGACCAATGTCAATTCTTGATCAAGTGCTCCATTTGTATGAAAAGGGTCTGTAGCATAAATCTTTGATAAGTAATCTGAACTACAACAAGGTTGTATGGTTCTTTCAGTTCATATATGAGCCGAAACTGGTAACCCACTCTCTCATTTAACTCGAATTATCAAATGGTTTGTCTTTGATCTCCAGTATAACATATGGAAGTTGTATATGGCAATAAATCACAATGTAATAGCAATCACTGATATAACACTGTTTAAGAAATACTTCCTGTATACAATAGTATGTGGAGTCATTAACAGGTACTGTGTCTGCTTTATACAGGGACTGGGAGAAACCCCCGGAGTACACGTGTGGCAAGATAGAGATGAGGGGCAACTGGCACATTTGTAATGACAACAAGTTTGAGGTCAAACCACCGTGTCTAGTCTACTCCTTTGGGTCAGTAGAAACTGATATTAACAAAGCTGTCTAAAACTAAATTGAAACACTTCTTAGACGAATATATATGTTGTGCTCATATAGCATATGAGTGCCTAGAAACTGCATGGAGATGCTTATTTTGTTATCGAACAAAGTGCTTCTTCAGAAAAGAACTGTTGAGAGCTGAATTATTGTTCTTAGTGATACTTTCATATGTTTTATTAAAAACAAGTTCCATCTCTTAGGCACGACGTTCAAATATAAATATGTAGTATTAAGTTAATTAGTAAGTATTGTAAATATTTGTAGGATCTGGAATGACTGGTCGTTTGATGACGCAATGGGAGCTCGTGGTTGTGAAGTTCATTCCTTTGATCCAAGGTAAGAATAATATACAGTGATAATAATATAAAGTTATTAAAAAAATTAAATAAAGTGATAAAAAAAATATAAAGTGATAAAAAAAAGGAAAAAAAAGAGAATAATATACATGTAATATAATACCTAGTAACACCTTGCTGCATCTACATCACGGTGACATGCATTACTAAAGTTCTCCAACGACATAAATCACGAATTAAAATTATCAATGAATGATTGACTATTGTCTCAGCAGCATTCAGAAAATAAAGTCCATCCAATCAAAACTGTTTCATTTAAACCAAAGTAGCAGCAAACAACACACTTTTCACCTTGGTGGTAAGGATTGGGGTAGCCTAGCGGTTAAAGTGTTGGCTCGTCACGCCGAAGACTCGGGTTCGATTCTTCACATGGTGACAATGTGTGAAGCCCATTTCTGATATCCCCCGCCGTGATATTGCTGGAATATTGCTAAAAGCGGGGTAAAACTATACTCACTCTCTCACTCCTTGGTGGTAAGTGTTAATTCGTATGGGCCAGTTGTGTTAATTGGTGTGTGGTAATACAAAAACATTGGTTTATATATCTAGCTCTCGTACCTAACCTACTCCTGTGCAATCAACATGTTTTTTGTCTTAGTCATTCTATTTACTTTCGTATACGTCTATAAATGCCACTTCTTCATTAAGATGGTTTATTTAGATAAGAATGCCTTTCATTGTAATGGTAAACCATTTGTTTAGCATCGGACTAAAGCCCTTCGACAGAAGCAAGAATGTCCACTTCCATGACCTTGGCCTCTCTGGGGAAGACAGCGACACGTATGTTCCTACTAAGGACATATACGTCAAAAAGAGAACAACATGGAAGATCAGACGCCTCAAGACCATCATGGAGATGCTTGGCCATACAAATGTACGTACATGTAAATTCCAAGTTTGACAGAAGCAATATTGATCTCGGGAACGATATGGGTGGATAATGTGATTACCGACAGAGCTACAAGTAAATAGAAACGAATATGTCTATATGCCGATTTGGGCCTTGTACATTTATATTCATGCAATTGGTTGGGCGTGATTGTGTACAGATACTACGCAGAAAATAGGGGACTGTATGGGTCATCCTAGGAGCAATGAAAGTATGGGTAAACGGCTCGAAGTAAAAGGTTGCTGCCTGCATCTTCTTTGTCAGCATTTTGCGGTTGTATCGAACATTGGATAACTCGAAATACTTCTTAATCGTGTATCTTCATTACACGATACGCCAATTTGTTAGTCAGAAATCAAATACTCTGGGTTCCCATCCACATATTCGTAAGCCTATGATACACCATAGTCAAAATGGTTTACAGTTATGTTATACTGTAGGCAGTTTCTATCAATTTATGTTTGAGAGTAATAAACAGAATACTAAACCCGCTTCCGTGAAATACCATTTTTATTAAACTCGTGAAAGATTTAGTATCAAACCCGCTTTCGCTCGTTTGAAACTAAATCATTAACTCGTTTAATAAAAATGGTATCACACGGAAGGTCGTTAATTATCCTCTATTTATGTAGCAATGTGTAAACACCCAGTCTTCAACTCTAAGAAACATTATGAAATAAATGCCCTAATGCGTATGTACGTATGACATCAATACCGGTAAACTAAGTAACTAAATGATTACTTAGGCATTAGTATGCAATATTTTGAAGGACTTGTTGATTTGGTGATCGTAAATGTTTTGAAAGAAGGACTTGTTGATTCGGAGATCGTATGTTTTCAAAGAAGGATTTGTTGATTCGGAGATCGTATGTTTTGAAAGAATGACTTGTTGATTTGGAGATTGTATGTTTTAAAAGAAGGACTTGTTGATTCGGAGATCGTATGTTTTGAGAGAAGGACTTGTAGATTCGGAGATCGTATGTTTTGAGAGAAGGACTTGTTGATTCGGAGATCGTATGTTTTGAAAGAAGGACTTGTTGATTCGGAGATCGTATGTTTTGAAAGAAGGATTTGTTGATTTGGAGATCGTTTGTTTTGAAAGAATGACTTGTTGATTTGGAGATCGTTTGTTTTAAAATAAGGACTTGTTGATTCGGAGATCCTATGTTGTGAGGGAAGGACTTGTTGATTCGGAGATCGTATGTTTTGAAAGAAGGATTTGTTGATTCGGAGATCGTATGTTTTGAAAGAAGGACTTATTGATGCAGATTTATCCCTTACGACTTGCCTGAAATCGATAAGTAAACAAGATAAACGAACAGCTTCCAAACACGGAACACTTGCCATATATGGAATGTAAACAATTGCTCCGTACATCGAAACTGTCGCACGCGGTGTTGTCGGTTTTTGTCGAACTGGTTTCAATCACAAGTTGTGCGTAGGATATTCGTAAACAGCGCTCGGAGGGACATAACTCTATGGGGTTCGCTTAAAAATCATTCGGTCGATAGAGGGCGCGAGAGTCAATTTAATGCAATGTTACATTAATTCATTCGAATTTTATAATTTTAATATTGTAATCCAAATACGTAATATCTTTTGAATAAATTATATGGTAGCTTCCCTGAGTGCTGATAGTTAGTATTATTGAGAGAAAATGCATTATTTATTTTTACAGAAGTGTGGTGTGATATAGTGCCTTAAAGTCTGAATTGTCCATATCATTTTTATGATCATTTCGCTTGATTTGACCTCTGTCGTTTGTATTAATCACAAATACAAGTTACAGCTTGGTGCTTAAATATATGCCTAATTCAGGGATGTATGCTTAGCATCTGAGTATGAAATATACGTTTTGCGCACCTCATATGGAAAATGTGTAAAGTGTAAAATGTCGTGGATGCAGCACGATTTTACCAAATTCTCTACACATCCGGAGATCCTCGGAATCTATTGAGCAAGAGTATGTTAACTGTTTCTCTATATAGGCTGAAGTAGTAATTATTGTGACGTTAACATTATGTATGTTACAGGGAATGTGTGAAACCAGGGATTTCATGTAATCCCCAAAGACTCGGTGATTTCATGAAATCACCGTGACACTAGGAACATTCTTGGTGTGGTTTTGCATCACGACCAAGCTTATGACAATTATAGAATAGGTGTGAAATCTGGTATCATCAAGGGTTTGTGCACGCGTTCTCAATTTGATGTTTGTCCCTTTCCTCTCTACGAATGATGTGACAATGGACAAAGAAGTGTCTCTCCGGACTGTGTGATTTCCGAGTCGAATTGTGGTGGTCAGGATTTCCAGAAATGTAACTAACCAATGTAAATCGAGATGCTGTAAATGCATTAATAGAGGACTGAAGTGTAATAGCTGGTGTAATAATAGTCTATGTTGTCCAAATAAATGAATTTTACCAGCATATACTCTGTATTCGCATTATAAATTTGGTGTTCCTTATGTCAATAAAGGCTGGCAGGGGTTTTATGAAATCCCAGAGTCAATATTTCAGTAACTTCATGAAATCCCTTGAAAGTTTAGGGAATACATGAAATCCCTGGGGGTCACAGTGATATCACGAAATCACTGACTCATTTAAGGATTACGTGAAATCCCTGGTTTCACACATTCTCTGCAACATACATACGGTATTTGCTTACTGATCGGACCATGACACCAGGTTGATTGTTCTCGTCGATAACACAATTGATGAAATGACCAAAATAATTAATGAAAATACTTCATGGTTTCTTCATATCATTAGGTGTTTTCATTCTCGGGTGAATCGCTAGGAAGTCAAAGAAGGGAAATGATAACATTGTAAACTGGAAGGTCCTTATATTTTCCAGAGACACCTGGATTATCTAAAGATTGACATAGAAACAAGCGAGTGGCCGGCAGTGAAAGACATCGTGGAATCTGGTCTGTTCTCCCAAATCAGACAGTTTTCTGTAGAATGGCACCTGTTTCCAACATATCCAAGTCGATCGGAATACGTCGGTATTTATGCAAGTGTCGCAGCCATGAAGGAGCAAGGACTACGAACATTTAGAGCCAGTTTTCATGGAAAAGACTACCGAAACGAGACCTTCCGTTTCCAGGCAGATGTCAACTACGTTAATATATTGTATAAAGACAAATAACACTGCACTGAAAGTTATTGTCACTAAGTGAGCTGAATAAATCACATTTGTGGCAACCGTGGGATCATTAGCTGAATGAGTAGGAGCTGTAGCAGCTCCAGGAGCAGGTGTCATAGGAGCTGGAGCTGGAGTTAGAACTGCAGCAAGAGCAACAGCAAATATAGTTTAAGCAACAGTTAAAACATTTTTATTTTCATTTATTCCATCGCATTAACGGATCTTTATTCGTTCAACTTTGCAAGTGTATATTTATACTGAGATTAAACAGATCTTCTTGGTGAGGATTCATCTTATTTTATGTGTAACTCTGTTGTGTATATCATTAGATATTACTAAAATTGAGGCCTGAATATTTTCAAGAACGTTATAGTAGAAGCAAAATGTTTATACAAATATTATCTAGGAATTTCTTTGAGTTGTCCATAAAAGTAGGTACTTAATGTTTTGTATATTAAGCAATACGTTTCTGTCGTAATAGACCTTCAAACATTCTTCTGTGATAAAGTTGCAGATAAGTTTAAACTAAATCGTCCCCGTGGACCTTCTTCAGCTTTATATCTGTGCATGTAGACGTCAATGTACAGGAAGGTGTAGCTGTAAGGGGTTGAACCTGTTGTGTACTTCAGCATGTGGATGTGGGCATGAAACATGTGCCCGTGACCTTGTCATTGTTGACATTGCCTAACATGTCAAATGGGAATTCACTATGTCTATTAAGAACATTTATAGATACGAATTGATATGAAGGAAATTGAAAACGGTATAGGTATCCATACCGAAACGCAGATATAAGTTGATCCTCCAATAAGACTTGTCATTCCTAAATACAAAGTACCAACTTTTGTTTCATTGTAATGGCTTTTCATGCATACGGTGCCAACCAAACGTATTTATGACCTTTCAATGATATAGCTGATTTAGAAAAACCTAAGTTTGGTAAAATTACCTTTAATTTGTAAAGTTTAACTCAAATGTTTCTGATCAAATGCGCTTTCTATTAAAATTGACCTTTGACCTACCAAAATATTTTTTGGCGATGAGCATATACATAATATCATTGTCCACAATTTTAAATCATGATCTGAGCTTTCCAAAACTACTATTTTGATGAAAATCATTCCCCTCCCCTGCCCCATCATCACACCACACAAACACACACACACACACACACCTTTCTCGGAACAGGGATTGTTTTACTAATGATGTGGTCAAACACAGTATAACATGTTTTACACTTCTAAGTAAAATTGAAGTAAACAGGAAAACACCTTCACAAATAATTGATTCAGAGTTTAATTCTACCCAACAAAATATGACATATCTTTAGGCAAACAGGTTTAATCAAAAATGACACGGGAATCCTATCCGAGCAGAGTAACATAGAAGCACATTGTATACGTAACTTCTATGTCGGGAAACACATTCAGAATAGTGTGTTCCCTGACGAGGCACATCCCATTGCCCCAAGATTCTTAACAAGGTATCACGCAGTGGTGGTTGTGTATTCATGGTCTAGTAGCCATTTTTATAATTATGGAATTGGAACTGAAAATCGAAACGTATAGATAGATTTACTTCTATCTTTAATAACAATACAAGATCTGGTGTTTGAAGCTAGTGTTCTATAACGTCCTGGGATACTACTTTTCCATATATTTATTTTCGCAATAGAAACGTTCAGAGTTTAGTTATATAAACTCGATTAGCTTCTTTGAAAGTCCAGTTCAACTTAGGAAGATGATCAGCTGCAGGAATTTAAGTTGCTTTTTCCTGCCACAATGGAGATGACCACGGAGTCTTGGAGTCCTGGGCCTAGATTTTCGAAGCTCTCTTAGAGCTAAGTTAGTCGCAAGTGCTATACATTAACATTAACTTACGGCTATCTTAGCGCTAAGAGAGCTTTGAAAATCTAGGCCCTGGTTCTTGGTGACATGTGGCAAAATGATCCAACTGGGCCTCTTGTCCCTGCGTGTAGACTCAACTTTCTTGATGTGTGTCAGAAACTGGTAAACAGAAGGGGACGCTTTGGTTGCTCAGTGTTACAGACATCCAAAGATGCCTTCAAGATGGTTGTTGACTAGAAAATCAACAGCGTTGGTGTTCATTCCCCGCCTTCATGAACTCGACAGGGTACCTTCAGCTTAGTCGATAGAGAGAAGAGGCAGGTCAGGTGCTCGTCAGAACGTGGACTTGCATTTGTGGATCCGACTTCACATGTGTGTGAACATTAACGAATGTCAACGTCAGGAAACGCTTCTTCCACGGCAACAATAGTTGCAGCTTCAAAGTCCATCAGGATGCATTCTGGGATATACGAGGAACGTATGTATCTAGTTGGCTATGGATTTGTTGTGAGACCCAATCAAACTGTAAATCCTAATTTGAGCAGTTCTTCAACGCAGTTGCTTGAACGAGCCCGACTGTTTCTTGAATGCTGAATAGGCGTGTTCAAAAAGGGTTGCATATGTGTCCAACATACCATACTGCCGACTCAAATTGGACCATTGAACCCCACGTAAAGAAGCAACATGTATGTACAACAGGGTGTACAGTATTTGTACACAATGAACTTGGTCTTGTTTGGCATGAGCGAGGTGGACATCGTGACACTAAAGGAATATAACAGTGGTTTGACCGTCCCCTGTCTCTATTTAGTTCCAGGTTTGATTAGGTGTTTCTTTTCGTTGTCCGCAGCGATGGTAGTCGTCTTATTGGAACTCTCCATCGTGTCTAGTTGTATTGACATTTCCGAGCCAGCAATACTTCTGGGTTTACTCATATGTTGAACATAGAGATACGCTGTGAATACTAGAAGCTGAGACAAAATAACGAAAAATTGTATTAACATTGTAACAGGTCGTGCATTTTCATTGCAATTGATCTAACTCAAATTAAACGACATATATATAATGTGCTACTGTGGACAAAAGGAACAAATTGTAGACACGGGCAGTATTTTGCAGTCTGAATACAGACTGAGTGAGTATAGTTTTACTTTGCTTTTAGCAATATTCCAGTAATATCAAGCAAATGCTATATCATTCATTGTTAAAGCTCTAAATTTAACTTTGATATCTTTAAATTAATTTAAGAATGAAGGCATTGTAAACACTCTTTTGGGTATATTTGCAAATACATGTATAAATGAAAATAGAAAGCCCAATTTGGGCTAAGTATCTTTAAAGTGAAAGGGGCAACTATTTCGAACGCTTTAGCATAACATATTAATTGTATAGGCCATGTACGTTTTGACATGTCGTAGTCGGGCATTTGTCAAAGTCTCTACGGTTAGTAACATCAACACTGATGTGTTAATTCGGGAAATGAGTTCCCTATTTAGTTTTACTCCTAGAAGTTGCAAGGATACAACATTAATAGAGGCTTGGTGACTTGATCAATCAAGAAACCAAGAAACCTTTAATAAGAGCAGCACGAACATCTTGTAAATCTGTCTTTCCCGACATAACTATAGTGCATTTTAATACTAATAATGAGGATTTTTGCCTCAAACATATTTAGGCAAAAATGGTGATCCGGTCTAACTACTTTTGTAAACTTTGGGCTAGAAAAGACTAGGCTGTTGTACTGTAATATAACCTAGTATTTACCTGCTACTTTACCAACTTAAATGCTTAGTGGAACATTGTACATTGTCCATGGATCCGTGAAGATCCGGGTTAGAATTGGTCTTCTGCAACCAATACTTGTCGTAAGAGGCGAGTAACGGGATTGGGTGGTCAGACTCGCTGACTTAGTTGACAAACATCATCATATCCCAACAGATTGATGCTCATGCTTTTGATCACTTGAATGCCTGGTCCAGATTCGATTATTTACAGGCAGCCGCCATATAGCTGGGTATTGCTGAGTGCGGCGTTAAACAACAAACAAACATTGCCCATTCGTGTAAGAGCAAGAAACTTTAGACAGAAGACTGACTTAACATACTGTTAGGAAACAGAAGACAGCGCCTGATGTTGTGGCCCAAGCAAACCCAAAATAGTCTGTCAAAGCTCCTCCAACTATTGGGCCAGTGAATTGTCTGAAACGTCGAGTACAACAGCATAAAAATGTGTATTCATCTTCAAAACTGACATAAATCAAAATGTAACAGTGGGAATGTTGTGTATTTACGGAAGCCTAATGCTGCCACTTTTGTAGCACAAATATTTTTTTCTGCTACAAGTCTTGTTGCTTCGATTATTTACTCGTTACTTCGAGTATTTTCTCGTTATTTCAATAATTTTCTCGTTACTTCGAGTATTTTCTCGTTACTTAAAGTATCTTTCAAAACTTGAAATTTCGAGTATTTTCTCGTTACTTCGATTAATTTCTCGTTGCTTCAAGTTTCTGTCAAATACTTGAAATTTCAAATATTTACTTTGTTATTTCAAATTTCTATCAAAAACTTGAAATTTCGAGTATTTACTCGTTACTTCAATTATTTTTTCGTTCCTTCGATTAACTTCTCGTTGGGAGTACCTAAAGCTCGGGCCAAGAAAAGTCGGGCTGGGCCGGGCCACCGGGTACTACTAAAAATGGATCGCAGAACATTAAAACGAAACCTACACATTTGGGGAGAAACGCTTCCTGTCATCACAAATGTATGGTTTGATTGAAAATGTATGTTTAACGATGAAATAAAAAGAAAACTATGACTACATACTGAGAGTCACGTAGAAAAGACACCGTCTTGTTGATATATATGTGTTTCCTTGACATGTCTATGTGAGAAGGTTACTTACTTCTCTTAGCGTGTGACGCCCTGGGTAGGTTGAGTTGGGTTGAGTTGAGTTGGGCTTTACGTCACATCGGCATTATTCCAGCCATATAGTGACGAGAACAAGTCTGCATTAATAGACATTGTAAGAACAAAGAGGTTTCGTTTCAAAGACATACATTCATTACATTATCATTTTAGAACAGAGAATGTTATAGCACTAAATTGAAAAGCAGGTAAATTCGTTAGTGACATTACACAGTTACAATTTATGATATAG